TCCACCAACCATCCACCAAGCCACCATTCTGCCATTGTTTACATCTGATAAATCGACGCACCTTCGCTGGCTAAATTATTTTTCCTCTAACTCTACTTGTTCCTTCCTTTCTATCTCCCTTTAAGCCTTTTCCATTCCTATTCCTCTCTTCTTCTCTGTCTTCTCATCCTGTCCTTTATCCCTTCTTCCGTGTCTGGATCGTGATGGATTACCTGTGGATTACGCCAGGTAGGGATTATACTTTAGTCCTACAAGGTCATCTCCAGCAAGAGTAATGTTATTATGGAGATCTGAGTCGCTGCTCTAGTGGCTCTACCTGGGGGGGGGGGGGGTTACCTGGTGGCTCTACCTTGGGGGGGGGGGGTTACCTGGTGGCTCTACCTTGGGGGGGGGGGTTACCTGGTGGCTCTACCTTGGGGGGGGTTACCTGGTGGCTCTACCTTGGGGGGGTTACCTGGTGGCTCTTCCTTGGGGGGGGGGTTACCTGGTGGCTCTACCTTGGGGAGAGGGTACCTGGTGGCTCTTCCTTGGGGGGGGGGTTACCTGGTGGCTCTACCTTGGGGGGGGGGTTACCTGGTGGCTCTACCTTCGGGGGGGGTACCTGGTGGCTCTACCTTGGGGGGGGGGGGGTTACCTGGTGGCTCTACCTTGGGGGGGGGGTTACCTGGTGGCTCTACCTTGGGGAGAGGGTACCTGGTGGCTCTTCCTTGGGGGGGGGGGTTACCTGGTGGCTCTACCTTGGGGGGGGGGTTACCTGGTGGCTCTACCTTCGGGGGGGGGGTACCTGGTGGCTCTACCTTGGGGGGGGGTTACCTGGTGGCTCTACCTTGGGGGGGGGGGTTACCTGGTGGCTCTACCTTGGGGGGGCTGTTACCTGGTGGCTCTACCTTGGGGGGGGGTTACCTGGTGGCTCTACCTGGGGGGGGGTTACCTGGTGGCTCTACCTTGGGGGGGGTTACATGGTGGCTCTACCTTGGGGGGGGGTTACCTGGTGGCTCTACCTTGGGGGGGGGTACCTGGTGGCTCTACCTTGGGGGGGGGGGGGTACCTGGTGGCTCTACCTGGGGTGGGGGGGGTTACCTGGTGGCTCTACCTTGGGGGGGGGTTACCTGGTGGCTCTACCTTGGGGGGGGGTTACTGGTGGCTCTACCTTGGGGGGGGGGTACCTAGTGGCTCTACCTTGGGGGGGGGTACCTGGTGGCTCTACCTGGGGTGGGGGGGGGGTTACCTGGTGGCTCTACTTTGGGGGGGGTTACCTGGTGGCTCTACCTTGGGGGGGGGTACCTGGTGGCTCTACCTTGGGGGGGGTTACCTGGTGGCTCTACCTTGGGGGGGGGTTACCTGGTGGCTCTACCTTGGGGGGGGGGGTTACCTGGTGGCTCTACCTTGGGGGGAGGGTACCTGGTGGCTCTTCCTTGGGGGGGGGGTTACCTGGTGGCTCTACCTTGGGGGGGGGTTACCTAGTGGCTCTACCTTCGGAGGGGGGGTACCTGGTGGCTCTACCTTGGGGGGGGGGTTACCTGGTGGCTCTACCTTGGGGGGGGTTACCTGGTGGCTCTACCTTGGGGGGGGTTACCTGGTGGCTCTACCTTGGGGGGGGTTACCTGGTGGCTCTACCTGGGGGGGGGTTACCTGGTGGCTCTACCTTGGGGGGGGTTACCTGGTGGCTCTACCTTGGGGGGGGGTTACCTGGTGGCTCTACCTTGGGGGGGGGGTACCTGGTGGCTCTACCTTGGGGGGGGGTACCTGGTGGCTCTACCTGGGGTGGGGGGGGGGTTACCTGGTGGCTCTACCTTGGGGGGGTTACCTGGTGGCTCTACCTTGGGGGGGGTTACCTGGTGGCTCTACCTTGGGGGGGGGTACCTGGTGGCTCTACCTTGGGGGGGGTACCTGGTGGCTCTACCTGGGGTGGGGGGGGTTACCTGGTGGCTCTACTTTGGGGGGGGTTACCTGGTGGCTCTACCTTGGGGGGGGTTACCTGGTGGCTCTACCTTGGGGGGGGGGTTACCTGGTGGCTCTACCTTGGGGGGGGTTACCTGGTGGCTCTACCTTGGGGGGGGGGGGGTTACCTGGTGGCTCTACCTTGGGAGGGGGGGTACCTGGTGGCTCTTCCTGGGGGGGTGGTTACCTGGTGGCTCTACCTTGGGGGGGGTTACCTGGTGGCTCTACCTTGGGGGGGGTTACCTGGTGGCTCTACCTTGGGGGGGGTTACCTGGTGGCTCTACCTTGGGGGGGGGGGTTACCTGGTGGCTCTACCTTGGGAGGGGGGGTACCTGGTGGCTCTTCCTGGGGGGGTGGTTACCTGGTGGCTCTACCTTGGGGGGGTTACCTGGTGGCTCTACCTGGGGTGGGGGGGTTACCTGGTGGCTCTACCTTGGGGGGGGTTACCTGGTGGCTCTACCTTGGGGGGGGGGTACCTGGTGGCTCTACCTGGGGTGGGGGGGGTTACCTGGTGGCTCTACTGGGGTGGGGGGGGGGTTACCTGGTGGCTCTACCTGGGGTGGGGGGGTTACCTGGTGGCTCTACCTTGGGGGGGGGGGTACCTGGTGGCTCTACCTTGGGGGGGTGTTACCTGGTG